TATTACAAAATCGTAAGTTTTAAGACTTGAGATTCTCCTTTTTCTTATATATCCAGATGAAGACGATTAAATAGAGGGTTTTTAAACATCAAAATGACTTCTTTTTTTCAATGAATTTCTTTATGTGCGCCTTGTTTTGTTCAGTGTAGTTTTGAGGCTTGCGTATTTTTCAGATTTTTCAAAGACATTTTCTAGATTTTTTTTTTTAAAAAAAAAACTTATTTTAATCCATCAAAAATTGAAAAAATTATTAAAAGAGTGCAGTTTGTATAGAGCACGGGGCTCAAAGTACAACACACCTTCAAATAGTGTCGAGAATTGTGGTTTCAATACTGGAAATCTTTGTGATAGCTTTAAAATATAATTTTATTTTTAATTATAAAATTTATGCTTCAAAAAATTGTAGATTGAGCATATCTATGAAAACTTGAAAATTGATGGCCTAAAAATAGGTACCAAGATGCACTATTTCCAAAACTTAAAATCCATTGTTTCCTAAAACTAATAGTTTAAAAATATAATTTTTTTAAATATAAAATATATTTAAAATTGCCAACTTTATTTAGCTAGATGGAATCAATAAAAACAAGCAAATCTGACCAACTAAAATCGTTCAAACATTAGTTTTTGTTTATTAAACCCTTCATTTTAGACTAGACCGGCTAGTTCTGATTGGGGATGAACTTGCGTATCTTGTAAGAGGTTCTAATTTAAAAAATTACTATAACTTTTCTTTTTCTATTTTATTTTTAACTAAACAATATAAGAATTGTATTCTTCGATTATTCTTGAGAATTGTCCTATTTATCAACCAATTCAAAACAAGAGATTTGTAATTTCATCACTGGAGTCTAGCTATATCCTATTTATCATATTTTTAATTACAAACTTTAATTTATTCTTAATTAATTTACGCTATGATAAAACGATTGATTGTTCAAATATACTTAACAGAACATGCTTACCATAAATTATTTAACAATTTAAAATATGATTTATTTGTCTTAAAATAATTATGCAATTTTGAATTAAGAGATTTTAAACCTAATGAAAGGCATGAGAAGTGTGTCCAACTTTCCCTAGACTTTTGAAAAAGAATCAATAATTAGTTAGAGAGCATTATTTTAAGGGACAAGTTTATATAGAGCCGAGGCTCTAAACAATCAAATTTTAACCTACCTAAAAAATTTAATTAGAAGAGGTTATTTTGATGCTCAAATATCTTCAAATTGATGATCTTGATATCAAGATGCATAGACATGAGAAAAAAATGGATTTCAAGTTTTGGAAATAGTGTATTTTGTAACGCAGTTTTGGACCATCAATTTTCAAGATTTTCAAGCTTTCATAGATCTATCGATTTACATTGTTTTTTAAGCTTTAAGCTTTATAAATAAAGATGAAAATAAAATTTAAGGCTATTACAAATATTTTCAATATTGAAACCACATTTCTAGATACTATTTGAAGGTAAGCTCTAATTTGATTGTTTAGAGCATAGGCTCTATAAAAAACACACCCTTATTTTAAAACCTATATCAGTTGACTGAACTGGCTTCCAAAAACTCATTTTGATCAACGAATTGTTGATCTGGATCAATGATCTAACCAATTATCCTCGGAGAGAATCAGTATAATATAAAAATTGACAAAAAAAATAAAAAAACTTTCACAGAACTGGTTGGTTCTATAGGAACCAGAATGATAAGCACTGCTTTTCAATCCGGATTGGATTATTATGATCTAAATCACCAGAGAGAGAAAGAGAAATAAATTTTAATGAAATCATTAAAAATTGAGAATAAATTTTGATGATAGAGGTGATCCAGATATTCTACATTTATTTATCATTGAGACGTTTTAAATAATGAAATAGGAGTCACATAGAGATTCAAAATTTATAATCGTATTTGTTGTCCCGTGGTAATATTGAACTGTGCGTATCATTTTGCTCACACATAAGTGTGAAGATTATTATTATTTATTCCAATTTTATGTTATTTCGTCACAAAGGCTTGAGGATTTTTTTTAGCATTTTTTTAGAAAAATTTGTGAAGTTTTATTTTAACACATATTATAATAGAAAAAGCTTATATAAGGACGAGACCCTAAACAATTAAATTAAGGTGCACCTCAAGAAGTCACTAGAAACGGTTATTTTAAAGCCCAAAAATCCTCAAATTGTTCATCTCGATCTCAAGATGTATGAACATGAGACAAAATGGATTTCAAGTCTTGGACATAGTCCATCTTATAATGTATTTCTAGACTGTCAATTTTAAAAAAATTTCAAGTGTTCGTAGATCTATTTGATCTACATTATTTTTGAAGCTTTGAATTTTTATTATTAGCTATGAAAATAAAGTTTCAAACCATCACAAAGATTTCCAGTACCGAAAAACATATTCCGACACTATTTAAAGGTGTGTCTTGCTTTGATTGTTTTGGGCCTCAACCCCACACAAACCACACCCTATTATAATTTTTTGATAAGCTTGGGCAATTGGACGCATTTTAAATGTATTAGTTTGGATCGATAATATATTTAAGGTAGAGGGGCACACCATCTACACCGTTTTTTTTTAATAACCTCATCCACATTTTTTTTTGGCATTTTTTTTTATCAAAATAGCCTCTACAGTAGTTGTATTATTGTGAAGCCCTAGTATTATGGTACTTTAAGTACTGTCTACCCCCATTTTATACAGCATAACTCGAAGTATTTTAAATGTCAAAACTAACAAAAAAAAGTTGTGGATGAGATTTATGAAAGTTGAAGTTTTTTATTTTTTTTTTATTTTCAAAAATTAAAATATATTTCTTATTATTTCCCTTGTTTCAACGTTTTATGAATTTACCCAAATAAAAACTACTAGTTTTTTAAAGATTTTTTTTTTTAAAATAATCACTCCTTCGTCTTTCTTACTCTTTCAACTTCCAACGTACAAAAAATGTGTCTACCCTTTGTAATATGACCAATACCATATACATCCGTAGTTGACTGTGTGAGATCCAGTATTAGATTGAAATAAATATTTAAAGGTCAAAAAAATGAAAACTCAACAATTAGGGTCTCCAATATGTAAAAAATATATGAATTTATTATTTGGTAAATAAAATTGAAAAATATCCACAATTGCTTGTTATCTAGAGTATTAAATCAAAATATGAAAAAGATCGTGGAAGTTCACTTGATTATAAACAATGTGGGCAGACAACTTAGATGGAAAGATAAAAATAAATGACATAATTTGTACTCGTGTGTTTTATCTAGGCATTAAAAAAAGATAAAAAATAAATATAAATGTTATTACTATTATCATCATATTCTAAGCCTTATTCAAACTATTTGAGATCGGTTATGTGAATCATGTTCCATCACTCCACTCTATAAATAACTAAAATGTGAAAATCCTGTATAAAAAATATGGATAAAATGTGTCAATTTTATTGCAAGCCGTTAGGCTTAGAGGATTTTATCCCTAAAATATTTATACAAATATGTGTCATGATTGTACACTTCTTCAAATAAATTCACTATACTTCCTAGTTATCTAGAGAGATAACATTTCTATTTAGAGAGAGAACCATTTCTATTTATAAAGAGAGGAGGGGGGGGGGGGGGGAGGGATGAGGGAGAGCTCTAACATAACTGCCATAAATACCTCATGAACAAAATTTTAAATATTACATAATTCATAAATTTTATTAAATATAAAATTTGATTTTATTTGGTTTTATAAACTTTAATTTTTTGCATGTACTGAAAATTAATAATTTATTTTGGGCATTAAACCTTTTTTTGTTAGGTAGTTCAGTAGTATGAATCAAACCTGAGATGTGATATCGTTAATCTCAACTGTTAACCTCTTAAACCCACTCAATACTTATTCTGGCCATGAAGTTATTTGAAATAGAAACCCGTTTGATAGATTGAACATTTATTTTTATAACTAGTATAAATTTTGAGGCTCTAAAAATGGTAAAGTTATTGCAGATATGTAAACACATGAAAATGGATGATCTAGATAATATCTCTTTTTTTTAGAACTTAAAATCAATTATTTTTCATATCCATAATATCCAAGGTTTAAATGATCAATGTGAAGGTTTTTTTACTTTAAAAAAATGATCTCCAATGAGATCTGAGATGTGGCCTAATAAAGCATGGACCTGCTAGTCATTTTTTTAATCAATTACTTAAAAGGATAATGGTTAATAAGGTTGCAATCCTATCAAAATAAGTAAAGCTTCAGCTCATAACTCCTCAAAAGTTGCAATTCAAGTGTTAAAAAACCTTTAAATGGATTATCTCAGATTGAATATTATAGCTGTGAAAAAAAATAGGATTTCAAGTTTTAAAAATAAATGAGCATTCACATATTTGCAAGATTTGTACATTTTATTAGTTTCAAATTTTATTTTTTTTGTTGGAAATTGATTTTAAAGTCATCATGAATATTTTCGATGAAAGTGATTAGATGTGAGGCTTTATTTTGTTTTCATAAAAGCTAGTGCCTATAGAAACTTCATCCTAATTTAAAATATATTTACAAAATCAACATTATTCTTGATCTCAACTTACTAATCAACCATTAAATAAACATTTTTTCCAAGCAAACATTAAAAAAAACCATAATTTTCTTTTCTTTTTTTCCAATTCCATTATCCATTCAAAAAACAAGGTTGGAGGGAAAATTACTCAGCAAGGGTGTATTAGATATTAAGTTCTTTTGTAGGGTCAATAAGTGGAACTCCTTTTTTCTGACCTTTTTAAAGAAGGCCCCAAGCATTGCCCTCGCTTTAACCCTTCGAACCAAATATCATCTCAAATCGAACGGTCTAAATTTCATCATCCTTTCTCCTATGAATTTCGTCCGTTCGATGATTCCCCAACCTCGTCCGTCCGATCGTGTCCACCCCATGAACAGACCGTCCAATTTTATGAATTCAATTTCAAAAGGGAAGTGAGAGAAAGAAGAGAGGAAGAGAGTAGAAGAGAGAGAGAGAGAGAGAGGCTTCTGAGTTCTCTGTTTTCCCAGCAAAATCCTCATGCTTTGATAACCTCTGGTTCAAAATTTCCCGGCGATAATTACCGGTCAATTTTTCGCCGGGTTTTTGCCTTTTCTATTGCTTTTGCGGTTGATCGCTGGATCTTCCTCACCATTGGCGTCTACAAAGTGTCTTTTTGATGTTTCTCTCTCTACCCAATTCAAATTTTCGACGGAGAATGGCTTCTCTATTGGGTTTTTCCTCCTGCTAATTTCCCTCTCTAGTTTTGTTTTGGGGTTGTTGGGTAATTGTCACCTGATTTTATTTGATTTTCCATTTGGGTTTTCTGTGTCCTCCATTGATGGTGTGAGTATTGGGGTGAAATGGATAAGAGGGTAATGGAGTCGGGGCTTCCTCAACCTGATTTTCCTGTGAAAAAGCTTGCTCGCCAGCTTGATTTCACAGCTTTTTGTAGCACTTCAGCGCCTGTAACGGACATTATTTCGAGGCCGACTCTTCCTTTACAGTAAGTCTTTTGTATTTGAAATTTGTTTGTGTTTTTTGTTGACTTATAAGATATAATTTTTCTCGTCAAATTTTATGCAATTTCATATGGGGTTTTTGAATTTAGTTGTTTTTTTTCGGATTTATTTCAATCTTGGTTTTTGTTGAGATCTATGGTATTTCTGGATATTGTTAATCCGAACCCTTGTAGCAGAATCTGAACTGGCTTAGCTATTGGAAATGGTGACTGGGGTTTAATATTTTCCTCAATCAGTTGCATTGGGTTCTTATCATAAGATTACAGAGGAAATTACTATAGTTGCTACCAGAAGTACAAATTTTTTGAGTTTGAATAAATTAATAGTGGTTCTCTGGGTTCATTAAATTCTTCCAAATAATGCATCTTATTGAGCATTACTTGTTCTCCTATTTTCTTGTGAAAAAATTAGAATTTGGTGCATTAAGGAGACCTCCACCATCAGGATTTTGTATTTTAAAATTGTGGATTATGTAGAATTTTACATATTCTCTCATAGAGTAATACCCAATTAATATTTTTGTTTTGTGTAATTGTGTTCTGTATATTCATGTTCCTTTTTAAAAAAATATGTTTTCACCTTCAGAATTGGCTAGTTCATACAACTAATAATGCTAAGCTTTGAAATTTGAAATGTATATTAATGCCAATTTAGATCCCTAGTCTATAGAAAGAAAACATAGCATGAAGAATTATTATAGAATGTTGGGTTAGTTCTGTTGTATGGCTTCTGGAGTTTTCAGAGAATTTTTGCATGAGGATTATATTGGTTCAAGATGTTTTACTCAACTTATTACTCCCTCTCTTTCTCTTCCAAAGGGGACAGAAGCGCACTTCATATTCAATAAAAAGGGATATGTTAAGCATTTAGCTTAAGACGTGCAGACTGAAATGAAAGTCAATAACAGCCAATATCAAGTGCTCCAAGCACCCTTAAAAATTACAGATACTGGTGAACATACTGAATAAATTGTACACATGCTGCTCCTTATATTTAGAATCAAGGTATTCATTCAATGAGTTGCGTATTAAAAATCCACCCTTGCTTAGTGAGAGAGTGATTATGTTGGTAGTTCACTTATTAGTGGTGATGATTGGGGATTTGATTATCCAAACTATAAGCCTTACATAGAAATGCCTATATTGCACATTTGTTCCATTATTCCAAATCATTTGATTTGAGATTTAATATTATGATTCTTTTGTATTTCATGCACTTCACATTCACTTGACGTAGAACAATATCTTTAGAGTGAAAGCAGCTAGACTTGATTTTAGTATCGTAATATGCTTCTATGGTTGTCTGATTTCCATCAACTTAGACTCTTCCTGGATGGACACAATATGGAATCATGTGTTTCTGTGGATCTCATAGCTAGAGTTTTCTTTGAAATGCTATAAACCTCATCTGTGGAACTGTTGCTGTTGTTTGTTGTTGGTGATGATGATAATAACTGTTATTCTTAAGGTGTTGGTGCTGCTGACTTACAATTATGATTATCACTTTGTTGGGATACTTACCTAATACCCTATGGTTGCATCCATTTTTGGTTATGTAAGTATTCATGGCTTTTATCACAGTGAGTGGCTTCTTTAGGTTTTGTTATAATTTTATGGTGTGTTGACTTACATTGTTTCCTGTTGTTTGGTTTTGTTTCGGTCATTAAATCATCCCCGAAGTAGAAACAACACGATTTTGGGAATTAGGGTCAGGTAAAGTTTCTTGGACCGGGGCATCAGACCATGTCCCACTTATTGAGGTTCACCCAAGAACTATTGGTTATGTGGTGGATAGGACGGAGGATTGACTAAAAGCTTGAAAATGGAAATATCTCTCTTTAGGGTGATAGCACCGATCATTGGCTAACCTCCTCATTTATTTTTTTACAATGTCCAGATCTTTTGTTTAAAATTTTTAAGAAATATTTGGTCTTGAGTGGATAGTGGGCCCTACAAATTGTGATTACTGTGGAGAGGGAATTAATTGCCCCTCTTTTATTGGCAAGACAAGATATCTTAATGCAGAATAAAACTCCAAAGGTTTGGGTTGAAGGAAGTTAGGAAAAGGTCAGTATGATGTTTCTAGATAAATGCTAGTTTTCTATGTGAATCCTTATAAGGAAAGGGTGGAAGTAAGCAATGTCAGTGGAGGCATTTAGCAGGAACTCCATGATGTCAGTGGTGGTACTTAGCAAGAATTTTATGGCATGAACTGTTGTTTACATTCTATTCAGGGTGTAGGATCTGCTTACTTATAGGTATCAAGAGTACGATTTATTTGTGTTGTTTGATCGTGTCAGGAGGTGATTCTGGAGGATGATTTCCTATTTTGGTAGCCATATCATCTGATCAAGAGTACAAGCTGACAAATGATTACTGCATAGTACTAGTTCCTCCTTGACCGACCTTAAAATAATGAGAAAACAAGTTCTTAATTTTATTATACCTTCAGTATCTGCAGGTATGCACGTTTGTTTGTATTTGTTCAATCCTTGCAAAACCATACCATCCTTAAATATGACCGATGATATTAAAAACAATCTTGATTCCCATCAAGGGTATTAGAGCAATTCAAATCATCCTGGTCCATGGTTCTAATGACTCACAAATAGAAATAACTCTGTCACCTTACTCTATAGGCTTTGTAGACTGACAATTGCATGCCTCGTCATGAAAGAGTCAAGTTAATTGTCAATCTTCACATCAAATGTGTCCTTATTTGGATCATTTATTACTTAAGTCAGTCAAGAGCATTGGTGCATTACAATTTTCGATTGGTCACTCACTTTCTTTTCCTTTGAAAGTTTCTTCTTTTTTGTTAAGCATTTGGTTGAAACTGCAGGCTAAAGTGTGGGAATAAGAGCTTCAAACCACTAGGCTATTGTGATCGACCCTGTTTATGCATAAAGAATTGATGTGGATAGGTTTGTGGATAAAACACATATTCGTTTCTACCGCAAGATCTTGTGTTCTTCTTATAGTTAAGCTTCTGAAAATACTTAAGCCGGTGGATTTCATACTGCTTTATGTTCCCAAGGGGGAGGACCTAAAATCTCTCTTCAGTGATGAGAGTGATTTATTATTTCCAGAATTACTTATTTTCTTTCTGAAAGAAAAAAATATTTAGCTTTATGTGCTGGTGCTCAAAGTTTCTGTTACATTGTTTAGTTTTGTTTCTCAGATCCTTTTATTCTTTTGCTCATTGATGTGTTTTGATTCTTTTGAACTTGCCTGTTAATATACATCTTTTATTAAGGGATAGTTATTCTCTTTCTTTTATGGGTTTCAAAAGTTTGGATGGAGAGAATACCTTATTTTGTTTCAGTTTTTAACTTTTGAGATTTGTTGGCTACTTTCAGGAAGCCGGAATCTCCAAGAGCTCCTCCAAGACCGCGGACTCCTTTTGATGCAAAAGATTGTACTCCAAAGAAACCAAAACAGTGCAACTGTAAAAACTCCAAATGCTTGAAGTTGTAAGTGCTTAACCTCCATGTCATTTCTATGTAGTGCTTAATGCTTTTGGAAAGATCCATACATTGGAATGGTCTCTCTCCACTCTCTCATTAGCTTGAATATACCAGGTTTTTTAAATAACAAGTAAAATTTCCTTTGATAATGTGCTAGTTTAGACCAGCTGTTTCAGGTAAGTCTTCTCTTGATTGAAACCTCAGGCTTCATAGACTCCTATTGGATACCTTGGAGTGTTATCCATGGAAAGATTTGGAACACTATTCACTAGGTGTTTCCTGCAATCAAGGTGTCCATATATCATCTAAATTGTTTAAGATCTTACTGTTTATTATTGGGAAAACGTATTATTCACTTAATATTTTCTCTCTTTTTGTTCTTTGTAATTTATATTCTATAATTGTTTATATTTTTAAGTGGCTTTTTTCTTTTGGAAGTGTATTCTTCTTGGATTCAATAGTTTCCTGATTGATAGACTATTTTTCTTGCTCGAAGTTGATTCCAGTTACTTTTTACCAGGTATTGCGAGTGCTTTGCCTCCGGAGTATATTGCGATGGATGCAATTGTGTCAATTGTTGCAATAATCCTGAGAATGAAGCTACAAGGCATGAGGCAGTTGAGGCTACATTGGAGCGTAATCCAAATGCCTTTCGTCCAAAGATCGCTAGTAGCCCTAATGCTCCTCGGGATAGTAGGGTATGGCACTAGAGTGTCATTAGATATACATGTTATGCAGCCACTTTATAGCTTCAGCTCTACTGTTTTCATTCAAATTTTGTCTTCAAATTTGTCTGACTTGCATCTGTCTGTCCAGTAATTGATTGGTATTGCTTGTATATTTGCAAGACTGAGCCATCTATTATAGGGAAAGTATAAACTAATTCTATGGATTGTAATGTACTCATGATCCATTGCACTCATCGCCATCTGGCGAAATGATGGGCAGTGACGGCAGGAGAGTGGGACCCACCAGAAGCGTACATGACCCAGTGTGTCCCTCTCTTTCTATCTCCCCTGCCCCCCCCACAACAACAAAAACCTCAAAGAAAAAAATAAAATAAATCACCCTCCATTTCATTGCATGATGATGATCCTGAAGGCTATGGTTTCCCACAATCCAGATTTTGACATATTTTCCCATCTATTTCTGGTAATAAAAAGAAGATTATGCTCTCTAGTAGTTTGGTGGTTCTGGAGTGAAAATATCCCGGGATAACCTTATTCATGCTGCATGTTGTTTCTGCCTTCTCCCTTACCATGAAATAAGCAATGATTGGTATGGTTATTTCTCCTACTCATACCAAATTTATCAGCAATGACTATGATTGGGCTCATAACTTGGGTGAGCGAAGTGTATTTGCATTCCCAAAATTTCATTTAAACTAAAGGTTATGTATTATCTTTTATATGGTTATATATAGCTCAAGAAAATGGTATGGTAAGAAGCTAGAACACTTTTTAGGTTTAAGCATTGGATGATATTTCACTACATAAGATTCCAGTTAATACCCAATTTAAAAAAAAATTACATAAATGGGGAAGGATATTATCTCCTTAATTTTAGTGGCATGTTTTTTAATGGTCTCAGGAGGAATTGGGGGAGCTGCCTATGGTGGGGAAGCACAACAAAGGATGTCACTGCAAGAAATCAGGATGCCTCAAGAAATATTGTGAATGCTTCCAAGCTAATATCCTTTGCTCTGATAATTGCAAGTGCATGGACTGCAAGAACTATGAAGGCAGTGAAGAAAGGAGAGCTCTCTTCCAAGTAGACCAAGGAATGCATATGACCTATCTCCAGCAGGCAGCCAATGCTGCTATAACGGGAGCTATTGGATCCTCTGGTTATGCTTCTCCCCCAATTAACAAGAAGAGAAAAAACCAAGAAATTTTCTTTGGCCCAGGGCCACCTGTCAAAGATCAGGGTGTTCATAGGCTTGGACCGATACCCCAGGTGGATGACTATGTCTTTCTTTTAATTATTTTTTTATACCTGAAATAAATTTAGATGATTTTATGCCTATTTACACCAAAACTCTTCCTAAAAATAGTTGACTTTAACGTGTTTTCACTATAATCTGATGCCCGAGGTGGGTAAAATTGCCTTGGCTCTGGCTATTTTATTTTTACTTGAAAGAGTTTCAGAAGAGTTTTTCCCTTTTACCGCATATCTCAAGATGGATTTGTTTTAATGGCAAAGTATGCTATAATATATTGGATTATGGAAAGAAAACCGTGGTCCACTGGGTTCACCACTCTCTAATAAAACAAGGGGTAATTGAGAGATTGATGGATCCACCATTGTGGTCATGTCCTGTGCCCATGGGTCCACTCGCTCTCCATCACCATCCATTGCATCAGACTATAAATGTACCATAATCCACTGGACTAAGTATACCTTTCCTTTTATTATACTTGAAATAGTTTCAGAAGGCATCTTACCCTATGAAACCGAAATTTTTGGTCCAGAACTCTTCCTGAAAGATGTGATACTCAATAGTTTTCTTATTTCTAATTTTACCATTATGGGGTTTTTATGCTCATTCTGCCATTTATGGAAATAGAGTTAGTTGAGTTTTTTATGTTTAATTGTGTTATTTCTGGGATTGAGGTTCATGGCTTGGTGGTTTGCCGGTAGCGGTGGCAATGGACCTGGACTTGGACCTGGACCCGACCCATACCCACCGGGTATACCCGACACGGGTCCGGGTATGGGTCCAAGTTTTGGACCCGTGGGTAGGATCCGGGTGCAATAAAGGATACCCGGATGGTCTCGTGTCCGGTTATGGGTCCTGCTATACCCAACCCGACGGGTACCCGGACTTGAATTTTTACTTTACCCAATGCCCAAAGCCCCAACCCTAAAATCGTTTCAGTACTTTTTGTCTTCCCTTAGTTTCCCAAACGGCCAAACCCCATTGCTATCCTCCTTCTCTGCAATTCTCCCTCTCTTAGTTTCTTAGAGACATAGCTCTCTCTTTGGATCTCGAATGTCTCTCTCTTTCTAATCGCCCACCCCTCAAAAATTGGTTCTCTGTTGTTCATCATTGTAGACTACAAAAAAGGAAGCTCATAGTGAGGGTGGTAATGGACCCGATCAGACCCAGGACCCGACGGGATAGACCCCAGACCCGACCGGTACGGGTATGGGTGTCCAAAACCTAGACCCGAATACATTCGGGTTTGGGTCCGGGTCCAGCCGGACCCAACCCATACCCGACCCATTGCCACCCCTATTTGCCTGTGAAAGATGCAGCAAAGTGTCATCGTCATCGTCAAAGCCTTTTCCCAACTAATTGGGGCCGGCTACACGAATCCTGGTCCGGCATTCTGCCAAGTGTTGGAAGCTTCGAATCCCATCGCTTGTATACCCAATGAAAAGCAATTGTGATTTATTTTCATTTTGATTTTTATCTTTATTTTTGTTTTTGTTGAATGTTAACTTGGGATGTGGTGAGAATAGAATCCAAGACGTCACATCATGGCACTTGCCACCTGATCAAATCTGCCTAGAGCCCGTTCTCATAAAAAGAGATTGTGATTTATTTTGAGGGAATATACGTCTCTTTAAATATCTTTGAGGTTAGCTGCATGTGAAAATTTCAAAAATGAACGTGTGATCGCTTTATTTTGAATGTTTATAACAATTATGGGTTCTGACATATTGGTGTTTTTTTTACCTTGGCTGACTAAGCTAGGATTCAAACTCCAGAGTCAAGATCAGTGTTGTGGCCAGTTATTCCATGGTGGAAGTATTAACATAATCCAAATGGACCAAATCTACTATGATATATGGTGATATAAAGGGATGTCTTCTCTGTGTTCCTGATAACTGGTTGTGGACTTAACTCCACCTGGGTGAAAGGTTCCGCTGAGCCCCACAGTGGTTAATCTCCACCGAACATCATGATGAATGGATAGTGGATGCCCCATAAATACTGTATATTGTACTCCATTGGATTACTGTATCCTCTATGCCTTAACCACTTATCCAACATGCTGAGAGTTACGAGCTGATCAGTAGTTGGTAACATGGATGGAAAGAAACTTAAAAAGTATCTTTTCTGTTTATTTATCCATCTCATTCATGTGATGGAATACACAAACAGAACATGTAGGCATATGTATGACATACGTTCATGCCAGCATGTAAGAGTGTCTGAGTACATGTATACGTGTCCTTTTGTATATATGTCTTTGTTTATATTGTGTTGTACCTGTATATGTGGTGATGCGGTATTGATTTAATATTGTTTAGGGCACATGATGCCCCCTTTTTTTAAGGGGATCTACACAGTAGTCTACTGATCTATGGTACAGTAAACTTGTCAATGATTGCGTTGCAATTACAACAACATTAAAATAAATTCATGCTAGTTTTTAGAAGCCTTTTGTGGATCGCACTGTATGATATATCAATTGATTGGGTTTTCCACATGTTTATCAGACAAACCATATAAAAACTACTTCTGCAACTTCATCCTCTGTGGCCCCTGTTCCTGTATTTAAAGTTGCTCCTCCTGCAGTTACAGCACCATCAAAATTTACCTTCAGGTATTAAATAAGCTGATGAATCTATTTAACTATAAATTTGTCTTTTTCCCTTACCTTTGACTATATATTTCTTTTTAATAAATTCTATACAACTATGCTAATAAACCTTTTGTACTTGCCTTAGGTCTCTATTAGCAGATGTGGTTCAACCAGAATATGTGACTGAGTTTTGCAAACTTTTGACGATGGTATCGGTTGAGACTGCTAAAGCTTTTGCAGGTACCCACTCCTTTATAGACCTCATGTTTCTGGTGTCTGGGAATTGAAGATGTGCATTGGATGAGACTAGTAAAAGCTCAATGCATATTCACTGTGTGTAAATTGAAGAAAGGCAAAGTGTACCATTTCCAATGGAGCATGGTATACAGTAGTCCAAAGGAGCATCTTCCATCCACTCTCAAATCTCAATGATGGAGGGCGGGGATTAATTTATGTGGGGCTATACGGCAGCGTCCTGGTAGGCCACCATGGTTAATCTCCAAGTCCATTATTGAGTTGACAGTGGTTGGCCTTTGAGGTACCACATTCATGGGATTAACAGTGTACTTAAAAAGAATTTTGAATTCCTCTTAAGGTTGAGTTACTATTGAGTGACTAACAATGTTTTTATTTAATTTAATGAGAAACGAGGTCAAAGTTGTTCATCATTGTCCATCTTGCGACACACTGATGACTCCAATGCAGTATAAATTAGATTTTCATACGTTAGGGAATTGTAATATTTTGCCATACCATATTATCATAAATCTCTATGGAACTTAAGAAATCTGCAACCTCAACTGGGCCACATTGAAAGGAATACCACTTTCACCCTTAATCATCTGATGACATCAGGCAGATCCCCGTAGATCTCCTTACCATAGAGTTGATAATAAACGTCGTTGGAAAGTACAATGTAATTTTGCAAAATATGATATATTGTACTCCAAGTCTACATCTACCACACATATCCTCTGGTTGATGCTGTAGACCAACAAAGTCAACTTTCAAAGGGACATTCACCTGGGTACAGTTTGACCATTCATCAGTGGGAGGGGATGGTGGATATGGCATTGGAGTACCGTATATGTAATACAATATAACATTTTTAAGACGGTGGATTGTCGAGTGTCTCCCCACCCCATCAAAAAAAAAAGAAAAGAAAAGAAACAAAAAAGGTTGTGTGAGCTTGGGGTATTTTTTATGTATATACTGGTCATGGAATTAGGGTTTCATTGGGATGCTAAAGAGAGATTGTAGGATGAAGATAAAGGATTTGATAGCTACAACCATGGATTCTTTTATACACTCCTCTTGGGAAATTGATTTATTCTGAGTGAAATTGTCATCGTATTCAGTGGGAGGAGAAAAAGGAAAATAGGGAAGTTCTCTGGGTACGATAAAATAAAAAAGGAAATTAGCAAATTCTGGGGTACCCAACAAAAAATATCCATCCACTTGAAGTACAATACCAAAATATGCAGAGAGAGAGAGAGAGAGAGAGGGAGGGCATAATATGTTCTATTTTTCATTGTGACTAGTGCTTTCTTCTTTTCTTTTGAGAGAGGGAGAGAGAGAGAGAGTTATTGTGCATGTAATGCATGTCAATATTTTATTTATTTCTGATTGTGCCATGCTCGGTGTGCACAGTGGATAATGCCACCAAGGAAAAAGAAATCGAAAGGATCAAATCCGACCAACCAGAAAACCCCACAAATTCAGCACCATCCCAAAACCCTGATAATGGTCCAAAACCATTGGATGATCGGAAGCCGACAGATGAACGATCAAGCACAAACCAAGCTGTGAAAACCAACGGTGAAGATTCGAGTAGCTCAGATGCTGGCGAAGGCCAAAAAGGGAGACCCATGTCACCAAGCACTCTTGCTCTCATGTGTGATGAACAAGACACACTCTTTAGTGCAGCAGCCTCCCCTTCGGGGGCCAACCCTAAGCGGTTCCCTTACAGCCAGGGTTCGACCGAGCTATATGGTGACCAAGAGATGATGGTTTTGACAGAGTTTCGGGATTGTCTTCGAAAGCTTGTCACTGTTGGTAGAATGAAAGGTAAGAATGTGTACTACTTTCATTCTCTCGACAGCAGAAGCGAGTGTCTGCACTAGCGAGTGTCTGCACTAGCGTGTGCATGTCATAATTAATAGTCGGAGTGTATCATATCATATGCAAGTCATATATGGTATACATCCGGGGCATTCACTATTAATTCTCGCGATTGACAGTTTAGATGAGCCATAGTACTGATGAGGAGCATTTGCAAGAGGAACAGTGCTTGATCTCTTCCATCCTGAGGGTTTGAGGGCCGTAAATGTATGTGTACATATATGCATAGCAGTCATCACTGTCCCATCAATGGATCATAAAGTGGAGAGTGAGGGTACCACCAAACATGTTATTAGTTCAGTCATACATCCCACTCTCCCACCATCAACCCATTGATTGGAGGCGATGATACCTGCGAGCCTGCTGTTGCCGGATCATATGGTTTTGTATACTTACCTTTCATGTTTGTTTGTGTATATTCAGTGGATTGATTTAACAAGACATCACGGTTTTTGTACATATAATTTGCTGTCCATTTATAATATGATTTGGTCTATTTATACAGAAGCACAATTCTCGACATACGCCACAAAAATTGAGACACCAGCAAGCCATCAAGAACCCGATGGAAATGGGCCAGTCCAGGCTCCGGAAGCCGCCCAAAGACTGGGAGAACCCACAATTCAGGCAACTCCTTTGGCCCGAAATTCAACTCATTTTGCTAGCAATTCTTCTCATTTTAGTGGAAATTCAGTTCCTGCTACTAGTTCGAACCCCACGCTAACCACAAATGTGGGGGACCCAGTTGTGAATGGTGAGAACAAGGCTCAAGCCTCCAATAAGTAGAGAGATAGAGGGCAATGAGCTTCAGGTGTATCTCTCTCTCTCTCTGCATCTGTGGTTTCGTGCTCTCCATTGTAATTTGAGCCGGCGGCAATAGATGAGGTCGGAGATAAAAAATGGTAGAAGGTATTCCGAACTCGTTCTTGGTCGCCGATCAAGCCAATTTTTTTTCTCTTTCTTTTTTCCATTATTGTGTATCTATATTGCTTTTATTACATTTCTGGCTTAAATATGAGGGCGTGCTTCTCTGCGGCAGAATTTTATGATTCACCTTGTTTTTCTGTTTATTCTCTTTTCCATGTTCTCCCATTATTGCTTTTTCTTGTTTTACTTTTCATTTTAATTCCTTTTGCATTTCTTATTCATGGGAAATCAACTTCCATTCCGAAGTTGGTCAAATTACTAAAATACCCTCATTTGTTCCGAATTTCAAATCCAGAGCAGGCTTACAAGACAATTTACATAATTGTAAATTCGTGTTAATTTTGTTGAATAGGTGTTTCAAAACAAAAACAATTTCTATTTTTATAAGGGACTAATTTGATAGTTGTAGAATGCTTTTTGTATGTGAAACCCCATGAGGACCTAAGTCAATACTTTGGTCCACTTGGACCACATGGAATACTACGTTTCTATTGGGGACTTGTCAGATGACCAGTTTTCAACAGGAAAAAATTTATGCCAAGGCATTTAAATGTAGAAGGCAAATCTAAAAAATCTGTCTGAAAAGGTTGCTCTGGTTAGTGTTTGCAAACTCGGCCGGTCAACCTGGAACCAAGCACTGGCTGATCCGGTTTTGGCTAGTTTTTGTGGTCGGGCTAGGTATTTTCAAAAAATATTAAAAGAAACAAAAAGAATCCAAAAATATAAGGGATTTATTTTTAATGTGTTTTTTTAATTTTTTTATCATTTTGGCAAAGATTGGAAAGTGTTTTGGCCATGAACATGTATTTTTACATTTTTTCCATCTTTTTTGAAAATTTTGAAAATACCCTTGGGCACAAATCAATTTTTTAAAAAATTCGTTTTTCACTATTCAAATGATTTGGATGTGCTTTGTTTAGTCATACTTTAAAATATATTTTCATATTTTTTTGGATTTTGGATAAGAGTATTAATGCCATTTTAATTGCTTTAATCCCTAAAAAGGACTGTATTTTTGGTATTTTAGATCTAAGACTGTCTCGTGCCCCTGACTCCCTTACCATCCAAGATGGAGGTTGACCGAGTGCGGGCTCGTGATCCCCAAGTGGTGTTTGTCAATTAGGTCGGGATGAACTCAATGCCATTATTTTGGTAATCAAAGCAAACCATGGCAAGAAAAAATACATCAGTAATTTTAAATACTAGGGCAAATTACTAATTTAAAGTTCCATACAATACAAAAGGGCTTTATATAACATTTTTCCAAAAATATTACATTTGAGTCTAAGGCATCAGGGCCCAAAATTTACAATAGACAAAATCCAGGGCTAGACTTTCCAAACACATACAAGATCTAGGTCCCACTTCCAAAAAGTCTGGCTTCAACGCCCTTCAGAAATCATTGTCGTTCCAACTCTTGACTTGTTGTTATCAATCTACAAAGAGGGAAGGGAGAAATGGGATGAGCTATACAGCTCAGCCCAGTAAGTAGGTCTAGGCGCTATGCTTCAATAATGAGCCTACTCAAGAATCATAAACAATTTATTTAACTATACAGAATTTTAGTGCAGCAGTCATGAAAATCAGCGATCAAGTTAGTGCATCAATTATAAACATTCAATCCATATAACAGTTATCATTTAATCGATTCAGTCATTGGCATTCACAAACACTATTCAATCATTACCCATTTACTCCCTAGTCCACCTACTCTCTCAGTAGAGGCTCTATCCATTGGGCTAAGCCCATCATATTGCTTAGGACCTCTACCATCTCCTGGGAGAGAGGGCAATGACAAGTGAGGAAATCCATTTCATAATGCCTTCATACTCACATACTCACACACACGGCCCCCAACGCGCGTTGGGGAGGTTCGATAGAAACTTACCTTGCAAGGTGTTAGTCATTAATATCATCTTAGTAAATCTCGAGGGGTGCAACCCTCCCATTTCACTTTTTCCCTAATTGCATCCTATCATTCAGCAAGTTAGGGGATATAGCCGGCATCACTTTTCTCAATATAGCAATCCTCATAATGATAGGTGCCCCATCGCATAGCAAGCAGTATCAATACAACAATGGCCAGTATCACAGTATTATCACATAACAGTGCCCACTACCAATGGGTGCCCCATTGCGTAGTAGTCATTATTATTGCCTCTTATCATGCTCAAGCATTAAATTTCATTCATGTTAAATCAATGCATTATAACTGATAAATCAAATTTTCATCATACAAGAATAGAGTCTTACTCGGAATCATCCAGCATTCATCATACATTATAACATTTATCATGAAGCATCCATTGCATGTGCTATCACCTAGCACTCATGCTTAGGCGTCATTCATCATAGAATTATCACATTAGTCTTGCACTTATCCCTTTATCACATCGCACGTAGTTGTGTAGCACCATACACATAACACTATAACAATTGCATGAAAACATCACGTAATACTCACATTTATCGCTTATCAAAGATGTTACATAGCTACTCGAGTAGCTTAATGAGTAATTTCGAGAAAGGTGGAAGAAGACGAGCATAACACTAATTTAGTGAGGTGCAACAGTAACATATCCCTCTTCTCGGGGGAGTACTTTCCCAAATCTAGGGAGATTTTTGAAATATTTTAAACATCCAACATTGAGTTCATGCCTAGGGCTTTAAAATGGCGATGCTTTGAAAAATTTTAAACAACTTCTGGTAGGTCAAAAGCTCGGCTCAAAATGATTGAGAGTTGCTGAAAATTTCCTGCAACAGTGGGTAGTGATGTACCCACGTATTTCGGGGCATAACTCTAAATTTATGGGAAATCTCAAAATTATCAAAACCAGCTACTTCAAGCTTGTTCACTGATCTTTCAAATGGTGGCAGTTTGAAGATGTTTGGACACCGTTTGATAGGCCAAAAGTACGGCATAAAAAAAGTCACAGTTGCTGGAATCAACTGCGACTGTGGGCAGTGACATGCCCCAACAATTTGGGGCATATCTTTTGATCTATACAAAATTTCTACATGGAAAAAGAAACAAACTTAAAATAGACATGCACATCTTTTATTCAAGACCGATTTGAGCCCCTTTTGGGCGCCGTTTGGTCACCGAAAAGCCCAAGGCAAAGACCCTCACAATTGCTGGAAAATCCCTTATCCCACGTCTTAATAAGCTATCCAAATGATACACCCAATTTCACAAGCCAAAATAAAACCCGGCACAAGCCTTATTCATATCAAGCGATTAAGCAAGTTTTACAAGGAAGCTACTATGTAAATTTATCCAGCTCATTACTCACTGCTCAGTCACTCATCCAAGCCCTTTTTATTCATTTATTTTCATACACCTCATTTTATGATCTTGCTCTTCATAGCAACTTAAATTTTGATCCTATGAAGTGAAATGATGCACAACACTAAACCCACTTACCTGGTGTTCACAGTATCTTCAAATCTCCCACTCGCCGGCCTCCTCGCGCTATAAGCAATAACTTCTCCAAGGCAGTAGTTAACTCCCACTTATTCTAGAGAGAGAAAGTGCAAGGAAAAAGTGAGGGGAACCGTGGTTAAAAAGGGGAGGGGAGACAGCTTAAGTACCTAGGGTAGTTGAAGGTCACTGTAGTTGACATGTACGGCTTTGACAGGTGCGGCGCTGATACGTATGGCACTAACAAATGCGGCGTTGGCAGCGGCCACATTTTTCCCCTTCTCTGCCTTCACGCGAGGCGATGCTCCAAACGGCACTACACTTGCGGTGATGCTCAAATTTTCACTCGTGGTGATGCCTTTTGCACACGGCTTTGCTCTTCGTTCTCTCTCTTCATAGCCGGCATTAGGCCTCTTTCACTGACGGCGATCATCATCCCTATCTTCACTTGCAGCGTTGACTTTTCATGTGTGGCTTTGGGTCTCTCTCTCTCTCCTCTTTACTTCACAGACGGCGTTGGGTCTCTCTCTCTCTCCTCTTTACTTCACAGACGGCGTTGAGTCTACTTACACAAACGGCGATGGTCCTCACGTACGTGACGTTACCACCAACACGTGTGGCGATGAGCAAACGACGCTGCCCACATTCGCGCACGGCGCTGCCCCTTGCGCGTGTGGTGTTTCCCCTTATATGTGCGGCGATGCGTCTTCTTTCTTATTCTTCTGCTTCTTCATCACAGACAGCGCTAAGCTCTTATATACGCGCGGTGATGCTCCAAACAGCGCTAGGCCTCTGTTTCACCCTTCATCGCCGTGTGCGCCTTTGGACTGGGAGGAAATTGTAGTCCTTACAAAGACCTATCAACCTTCTTACAAGTCTGTATAAGATTATTGCTAAATTGTTATATTTGAGAATGAAAGGGGTGCTCCCAAAGGTTATATCTGGGCTTCAATCAGCCTTTATTAAAGGAAGAATTATTACGAATAACATTTTCATTCTAGAGCCATGGGATCTGAACCATGAGTTCTTTTTAAGCTTGATATCGAAAAAGCTTATGATAGGGTAGATGGGAAGTCCTAGATGAGATAATGAAATGTATGAATTTTGGAGTGAGATGGACGAGGTGGATTAGGGGGTGTTTGTCATCGGCACATTTTTCTGTCTCACAGGTAGCCCAAAAGGTTTCTTTAACACATCAAGGGGTTTGAGGTAAGGAGATTCATTATCTCCTTCTTTTTTTTACTTTGATGGCTAAAGGGTTTAGTCTGATGCTAAGAAGGGTGGAAGGGAGGGGTCAATTTAATGGGTTCAAGGTGGCTGAGGGAGGCCCTATCATCTCACATCTCCAATATGCCGATGACACACTGATTTTTTGTGATGCTAATTTACAGCAAATGATGTCTATCTCTCTATTTCTAAGGTGTTATGAAGTTATCTTAGGATTCAAAGTTAACTTTGCTAAAACTAAATTAGTAAGGGTTGGTTGTGATGGGCCTATTGTAGATCTTTTAGTTGCAAATTTTGGGTATGCGGTGGGTCATTTCCCAATGCCATATCTTGGTATCCCCATATCTGACTCTAGACTTAATAGAGCAGTTTGGGATCCTGTGCTGAAAGTGTTCATACTAAACTGGATCCGTGGAAGTTCAAATTCCTTTCCTCAGGAGGCCGAGTGACTTGTATTAACTCAACTCTTTCAAATATG